GTACAGAAAGCTGGGCTTCCTCCATTGCTGTGGGCAAACCTAGCCTCCCACTCTTTCCAGCTCCGTGGCTGCCTCCATTTCTGTTTGGATTTATGTGTCTTCTATCATTGAAACTTTGTAGCCTTGAGTGGAGGCCTACGCCTACAAGGGCAGGTGAAAAGCTTGGCTTCCTCCATTGCCAGGGAAACCCAAGTCTCCCTCCTGCCCTCTGTTGCCATAGCCATGTTGGTTGGGTTTATTTGCATATTCACTTCTGATTGGCTTGTGGGCATAGCTTATGGGTGTAGCAGACTGATGGTTAATTTGCATATTACTCTTTTATTAGATAGGATTATGTATATCTGCATGAAGAACTCCCTACAGTGGCATTATTTTTTTTAGTTCCCATAAACGCAGTATTCCGGATCATGGACCCTGACCCTGGCCTGTGGCCAAGGGCAGCCCCCTGAGGAGCACACAGCCTGCTGCAGCCCTGTCACTAGACACTTAATCCCAGGTATGCGACAGCTGCCACCCAAGTCAAGTATCCTGTGAGCATACTCCAGCCAAGTTCTTACTCAACAACACCTTCTACAACATCCAGAAAGAAGAGACGCCATCCTCCAGGGGCCCAGCCCGAGCCTCCAGACTGAGAGAAGAACAATTTCTGATGTTCCCCAGTGAGTCATCTGCTATTGGTGTGGATGATGCCCAGTCACACAGGCAGTCTTACAGAAGAGGAAAGAAACGGAGCGCAGAGGGGAAGGCAGTGGCCTGAAGTCATACCAGCAGTGAAATGACGACGCTGGTGCAGGAACCTAAGTCTGTGTGGCCTTGGAATCCAAACCCTTAGCCACAGAGCAAGGCAGCCAGCACTCCATGCTGGTGTGTAAAAGGAAGGCCTGCGCCCTGGCAGGTGTACCCGCTGGTTGGAGGAATGTCCCTTCACCAGAAGGTGGTAGGTTCCACTCATAGTCAATGAACATCCCGGGTTGCAGGTTTGATTCCCGGTCGGGGCATATGTGGGAGGCAATGGATCGATGTTTCTTTTCCCTGCCTTTCTCTAAAAATCAATAAGTAAAATAGGTAAATAAAATGATAGCCTACAATATCCTTTTCTTTACTCTCACAGCAGTTTACAAACTGTGATATACCTTGACAGCCACTCCTACATTCTCTATCCTGCAGTCACTCTGAAAAATAATAACGAACTGTTACTGGAGGGAAAATGGAGCGAACACACTGAGAAACGCAGCACTGAGGACACAGCTAACCCACCGCCTTCCGGCTGCCAGCCCGGCTGCTCCAAGAAACCCTCCCCACTTCTCTTCACCTGGAGCCCGATTCACCTGACCTTTTATCAGTGTTCAGCATGCATTCTTGGCCCCGAATAATTGCTTAATCTTTCTGGGCCTCCTTCGTTTTCTTATCAATGAAACACGGATAAAAATTAAACCCAGTCCAAGGGCCACTCTGCAGCAGGCGTGAGGAAGCACTAGCTCAGAGCGAAGCCCTGCAGATTCCAAGACCCGTGCTCCTCCTCGGTGGTCAGGGTACGAGGCACACAGCACGCCGGTTTAAACTGCACCCTGGAGCGTGAGATGCCCCTGCTGCACCCACAGGCCGGTGGCCCCCATCGCCCCACGGGACTGGAAGCCCAGTGGGGGATCCATTCCCCAGGCCTGCAGGACACACCTCTGCATTGGCTTCCGCTTCCTGCTGTAACAAATCACCACAGTGAATTCTCTTACAGTCCTGGAGGGCAGCGGTCCAGAGTGGTCTTGGGGAGCTAAAGTCAAGTTTTGGCAGGACCAGTTCTTCCTGAGGCTCCAGGGGAGAATCTGTTTACTGGACTTTTCTGACGTTTCCTGTGCTCCTTTATGCACCCCATCTCCCCCTCCAGACCTGGCATCCTCCCATCTCCCTCCAGCTCTGAGATCACTCTCCTGCCTCTTTCTAGGACGCTGGTGATTGCACTGGGCCCACCCGTGTCATCCAGGATAGCCTCTTATCTACAGTCAACTTCACATCTGGAAAGGCCCTGCCGTGGGGACATCTGGGAGGCCTTATTCTGCCCACCCCCCAGTCGATACTAAGGTGTACTGAGTGCTGCATCTTCTAAACTTTACGTGCACCGAGCCTCAAAACAGCCCTGCAAGGTGTGTGAAATGGTCACTGCCCTCTACAGATGAGAAACCCGAGAGACCCAGAGAAGTCAGGTCATTTTCCCAAGTCACACAGCTAGGGAGGAGCGGCGGCTGAGCTCGAACCCAGCTCCTCAATGCCCAAACCCATGCTGGTGTTTCGCCAAGAAGAAGCTCTGTTCAGCCAGAAGCAAAGCACGTGACGTCAGAAACGGGCTCCCCGCAATACAGGGCAAATGCCTTGTTTCCCGAAACCTCAGCGACAGTGTCTTCAGCAGCAGGACGTGGAACTCCCTCCCGAGAACAGGAGCACGGGGCCCACGGGGTTCCCTGCCAATCACCTTCACCTCTTGGCACCGTGACATCATCAGCGCTGAGGGACACCGTCTCCCTGGACTCCTGGCTCCTATGGTTTTGGTTTTTTAACCACAAAACCACCCCAACCACCCTGACAGCTGAGAGCCAGTGGGGGAAAGGGGCTGACTGGATTCGAACTCAGCCCCCTCACAAGGACTAGCTCTACTGTCTCCAGCAAATTATTTAACATTGATCAATCTTAGTCTTCTGGTCTATAAAATGGGGACGTTAATTCCCCAAACTCACAGTCATTATGAGGATTAAAACAGGACCACTGAATCCCTGCCAGAGCCTACCTTTAACCCCATCCTCTCACCCCCCACCCCCACCCTATTGTATTTTAAGAAGCCTCCCATCCAGCTGTTCCAAACTTCTGTTCACCAAGGTTCCCGCCTCCACATGCTGCTTCTGAAGCTGTAGACTGAATACAAGCCCATATCTGCAAGTGCCTGGCTCCCTGATACATGATTTGAGTCTGAATTCCTGACACTGTGTAGGAAATAAATTAGTTCCAAAGTGACAAATTCTGCAGGAGGTGTGACACTCCTAATATCACACAGAAATCTTTTCTTTTAACGGTCTGCACCACTCCCTCTAGATCCCATTAACAGTGCATATTTCTTTCTTGGTTAACTACCACTTTTATCTTCATTTTTTTTATTTATTACTTGAGAGAAAGGAGAGAGAAAGACAGAGGAGACAGAGGCAGAGGGAGAAAGCAAGTGAAACATTGATTTGTTGTTTCACTCATTTATGCATTCACTGGTTGACCGGGTTACGTTGATCGAACCCCCAACCTTGGCTTCTCCAGACTGCCGCTTTTAAATAATTGTTTGCATGTTCTCTCATGCACTGAACCCGAGGTTCCCATCTACGACTGCAATTGAAAGCATCTGGGAGCTTTGAAAAGGTAAATACATTCCTGGGTCCCACTGCCGATTCTTACTTCCAAAGTCGGACATGGGGCAGGGGCGGGGCTGGAGCGGCAGAAGGTCCCGGATGGTGCCAACACCGGGCAGGGCCAGGACACCTGCACCTGTTGTTTATTCATCTTTCATCCCAGTCACCTGGCAGGGCCCGGGCACACGGTAGGCAAAATTTCATAACAGTTTGCAGCATGAATTACCTAAACTTTAGAGTCCACTGACATAGAAAAGCACTAAAATATTTACTTGGGGTGTATACTGCATCAGGCACTGGGCCAGGCACAGAGCTCGCGCTGACATCACCCTTCTGCCTCGGTTGGTCAGGAATAAAACACAGAGCGGAGAAGGAAGGGGCGGAGGGCTGGCTGGCTGTCTCTGGGTCAAGCCATCCTAATCCATCCTCCCTCTGCATCTTCCCCGCGGTCCTCAGCAGAGGTGTTTCCGCCCTGTTACAACAATAGGGCCTCCTCACCGGAAGATTCAAGGAAGGCAGGGACAAAGACCCCACAAAATGGCAGCTGGCATCCGTCCTCCCCTCACCTCCCCCTTCCCTCCCCCATGTACACCTTTCGGAGCCATCTAGGCGTTCACCCTCCCCACCCCCTGCACCAAGCACAGCCGCTGCGTGAACCGCAGGCCCAGGGAAGAGCCCAGAACGCACGGACAGGCACCTGGGGAGGGCCGGTCCCGGGGGGAGGGCTGGTCCCGGGGGGAGGGCCGCTCCCTGGCGCAGCCCCGCCCTGCTGCCGGCCTCAGCCTTGGGGCCCGGGCCTCACCTGGGCGGCCCGGGAAATGCACATTCTCAGGCCCCGCCTCACCCCCAGGAACTGATGGACCGGTCTGGGCTGAAAAATCTGCATTTTAACCAGCTCCCCTCCACCTTCACCCCTAGGTGAATCTGCCGCAGTTGATGCCACGATCCCTCCAAACCTCAACAGGTCACTGCCAGCCTCCCAGTAGGCAGACAGCAGGACGCAAACACCGCCCCGTCCCCTCTCCGGGGAGGGAGCCCGGCCGCCCCGGCGCTGCCGCTGCCAGAAAGCCGCCGCAGGTGGCCGCCCGCCGGCCGGGGCTCCCTCCCTCATAGTGGGGAGCGGGGAGGGTCCGAGATCGCGGGGAGAGCCCCACCCTCCCTCCCGCGGCGCCGCTCCGGGTCCACCCAGGACCGGGGACTGAAGGGGGCCGTTTCGGAGCGGGACCCAGGGGCGCTGCAGCGGGTCCCCGGGCCCCACCCCAGCCAGCCGAGCCCGGGTCCACATCCATCCCCGCGGCGAGGAGAAAGCAGGAAAAAATACCACAGCCCGAGCCCCGCGGATCCTAGTGCACCGGCGGTGCACAGCGCCGGCGGCCCGGCTTCCCGGGCTCCTACAGGGCGGCGGCGGGGCGCCGAGAGCCGGGCGCGCGGGCCCAGGGGGACGGGATCGCGCGGGGGACCCGGCCCGGCCGGAGCGGAGGGGAGCCTCGCCCCGGCCGCCCGCCTCCCCGGCCGCCTGCCGGCCTCCCCGCCTCCCCGCCTCCCCGGCCGCCTCCTCCCCGGCCGCGGGCTCATGGCGCCGCGCGGCCGCGCTGTCAGGCCCGGCCCGGTCCCGCTCACCCGGCGCGGGGCCTGCTGTCCATCCGCCGCTTCGGGCGCACCGGCTGCAGCGGGATGTGGTCCGTCATGTCGCCCGCGCCGCCCGCCTTGCCGGCCGCGCCCCCCGCGCCGCCTGGGCCGCCGCCCGGTCCGGCCTCCGCGCCGCCGCCCGCCGGCGCCGCGCCGCCCCGGGGGAGGAGGCCGCCCCGCGGGAGGAGGCGGCGGCAGCGGGCGGGCCGGGCCCGCTGCGAGGGGGCGAGCTCGCGAGCGCCGGGCCACGCGCGGAGCCGGCCGCGCGGCCCGACCGACGGACACGGGCGCACCATGGGCCCGGCTCCGCTGCGCCCCTCGCCCCGCGCCGCGCCCGCCGGAGGGAGGGAGGGAGGGCGGCCGCCGTGTCCGCGCCGCCGCGTCCCCGGCCCGCGCCGCGCGCCCCCCACGCGCGCCCACCGGCCACGCGCCCCCCGCCCGGCCGCGCGCGCCCGCCCACCGCCCGCCCACCGGCATCCGACCGTCACCAGCCACACGCAGCCCCCCGCCAGGCTCACCCAGCACATTGTATACACTGTTTCACATGCTCACTCTTCTTTCACATGCTCATGCTTGCACCAACACGCATTCACACGCTAGCCCTGCACACACTTATTCTCACCTGCTCATTCCCCACTCTCTGACAGTCACAAGCGCACAAACCACCTTTCCACCTCCCAACCCTGGCGTTTCCAATCACACAGGCATTCACCCTCATGTGCCCATCCTGGATCTCTGGCCTCGCTCACACTCACGTGTGCCCCTAGGAATCACAATCCACGCAGAGGCACACGCTACCTCACTCCCCACCACCCTTCACTCACTGTCATTCTCCCACCTGGGTCCCCGGGAGTCAAACACACATGTGTGCACACACACACAGACCTGCACATGCTTATTCTCACACTTCCGCCACGAACTCAGGGGCCTACACATGTGCCCTCTCACTCATTCAGACACTCAACCTCACACCCCCAACCCCTTCACCCAGACCTGCAGCACACTCACAGGCTCACACACTCTCTTACAGTGTCTGAGACCTTCCAACTTCCCAGGGGCCTGATAAATTTTGAAAACAGAAAGACAATGAAGAGTGGTGGCCCTGGGCCGTGTGTGCGACGAGGAGAAACAATAAAACAGTCCAGTGCATGGCTGATCCTAATTGCACCGACTATGAACAGTGCTGGGCGGGCCCAGCTTCTCGGGGTTTCTAAAGAAAGGTGGACGGGATTCTAAAATATGGAGGAATAATGCTCCACTGATGGAGCATTCACTGTGCAGGGGGGCTCTCCGGTTTCTTTCCTGGTCAAGGGCATGTACCTGGGGTGAAGGTTTGATCCTGGCCCCCCATTGGGGTGTGTGCAGGAGGCAATCAATGGGTGTGTCTCTATTACATCAATGTTTCTCTCTCTCTCTCTCTCTCTCTCTCTCTCTCTCTCTCTCTCTCTCTCTCTCTCTCTCTCTCAAAATCTATGGGGGGGAAATATCCTCAACAAGAAAAGAAAGCAAATGAATAGTGGTGAAGGGAGAGCAGGCAATTAATCCCACGTAGCTGAAGAGTCCCTAAATGTAATCCCTTACAAACTAACCTACTGCAACTGAAGTAAACCTTCAAGTGGTTACCCCTGTGTATCTCCTGCGGCGTGCCTGCCTTCCAATTCCTCTGCTACCAGTAACGGGGAGCCACCAGAAATATGAGTCTGGGCCCTGGGTGACAGAAGGAGGTGCTGGGTGGATCCCAAACCAAAGTGTGACTTATCTCATGTCCCGATCAAGTTCCTCCAGAAAGAAGCACGTCCTTAGAAGTTGCTGCACTGCACTCCGAAGGGAAAAGAGATTCTTGGGCTGACCTCTGATGAAGATTTACCAGGAAGCATGCATTGTAGTAAGAGCTTCGTCTGTTCCCAGTACCGTTCTTAAGAGCACTCTGGTCTGCTCTGCTTTCTGATTTCTCCCTACGCCTGGGGCGGTGTTCGATAATCTCACGGCACAAAGTCGGCACTCAGTGGGCACTCAGTGGGCAGTCGGTGGGCACACAGTAGGCACTCAGTACTTGTTGAGTGGGGGAAGTGCTAACACCCTGACACCCAACTGGGGCAACAGACTGGGCTCCACACTCTACCACCAGCCCCCTCTCAAATCCCACCCACCGCAGACCCTCTTCTCCACCCCCCTACCACACGTGGTAACAAGAGCAAGGAGACGGTGACCCTTTAACCCAGCGCCCCCCACACAGCTGGGGGTTAGTAACTGTGAGCTCTGTTTTTACCAAGCACCTAAAACATACGCTGGTTCCACACTTAACCCTCCTACCGGGCTGGGCAGCTAAATCTAAGTAATCACACCCATTTCACAGGTGAGGAACGAGGAGCTCAGAGTGGCCAGCACGAAGCTGCGTGGTTAGGAACAGGCTGGGCTCCAGACCTGGTCTTTCGGGCTCCAGAAGGCAGGAAAAATGGCCTCCTGTGGCCAATGGAATCAGTGATCATGACCCTCCAGGCACCAACTAATCCAGATCCCAAATACCTTCAAGCCCCCCATGGATCTTGTGGAGCCCACCTGTGGCCACCCTCATCTGATGGGGCCCTCATTTTCCAAAACATGGAGTAATAACCATGGCTTCCTCGTCACATGCAAGCCATCGGGCCTCAGTTTCCTCATCTGTAAAATGGACTCATTGGATTGTTGGAAGGATTACATGAGTTAACCATATGCATAAAGCAATGGGAAGAGTGCCTATTCAAAGGAAGCAGTGTGTAAGGCCGTTATTACAGGGTTGTTAGAAGAATTCAGAGCAGTAATGGGAACAGATAAAGCTCTTAGTACAATGCATGCTTCATGGTCAATATTCATCTACTTTTTTCCTAGTGAGCATGTATCATTTTTACAATGTTTTTCTTTAAGTTAATATATTTTTAAAAACCAAAGAGCCCCTTCTTAATCTCCAAAGGTAATACCATTTTCACATAAAGAGAAGGGTGATTTTTTTTGCCTTTGCATTTTCGTTTTTCTTCAGTGCACTTTTATAATCATTAGAGAAGACATTATTTAATAAGTATATTTTTATTGATTTCAGAGAGGAAAGGAGAGGGAGAGAAAAGGAGAAACAGCAATGATGAGAGTATCATCAGTTAGCTGCCTCCTGCACGCCCCCCACTGGAGATTGAGCTTGCAACCTGAGTATGTGTCCTGACTGGGAATCGAACCATGACCTCCTGGTTCATAGGCAGATGCTCAACCATGGAGCCACACCGGTCAGGCTGGAAAAGGCACTTTTTAAAAATACATATATCTTTATTGCTTTCAGAGAGGAAGGGTGAGGGAGAGAGAGTTAGAAACATCAATGATGAGAGATTGAGAGATAATCATTGACCGGCTGCCTCCTGCACGCCCCCTACTGGGAATTGAGCCTGCAACCCAGGCATGTGCTCTTGATTGGAATCAAACATGGGACCTTTCAGTCTGCAGGCAGATGCTCTATCCATTGAGCCAAAACAGCCAGAGTGAGAAGGCACTTTTTTTTTTTTTTAAATCAATCTTTATTGTTCATATTATTACAAAGGTTCCTCATTTCTTCCCCCCTCCACCAGGTTCCCACCCCACCCTCTGCCCCCTCCCCATCCCCCATTGTCCTCATCCATAGGTGCAGTTTATGTTCAGTCTCTTCTTCCCTCAATTTCCCCGATAGTAAATCCCTTTTCAGATAGTAAATCAGTTACTTAGCATTTTCTCATATCAATAATACCTCCACATGCCCAATGATACACTTCACACAAAAGACATTTCCCAATAGGTCCACCAGCCTCATCTAGGCCCCACCCAAGGCACTCACAGATCAACACCCCAGCCCTATACTAACTCAACACATCCAGATCTAAGCCTTCATCACTTGATTCAGCAGACCCTCAAGTTCCCACGAAAGTTTCCAGCCATGTCTGAGAGGCAGCCATGGGGCAGGGGCAGGCGAGGAGCGAGCTGTTCCGGGCCTGGCTGCTCAGGGCCTGGCCTCTGTTGCTCTGGTTCGTTCCACAACCAGCTGCTCCGGATCTGGTCACTGCCGCTCCCGACCTAGTTGCTCTGGAATTGGCTGCTGCTGCTCCGGGCCTGGCCGCACCCGACCCGGCTGCTCCCCCGGGCCTGGCCGCTCCCAGCCTGGCAGCCGCTGCTCCGGGCCTAGCTGCACCAGCCCCGCCTGCTCCCCCGGGCCTGGCCGCTCCCAGCCTGGCAGCCGCTGCTCCGGGGAGAAGGCACTTTTTAAGACTCCCTTTCAGCAAAGCAATCCCTCAGGCACTTACAGGCTTTTATCTCATCTTTTGTTTTGTTTTTGTTTTGTTTTGTTTTTAATTTTATTGATTTTTTTACAGAGAGAAAGAGAGAGGGAGAGAGAGTTAGAAACATGGATCAGCTGCCTCCTGCATACCCCCTACTGGGGCTATCCACTGAGCCAAACCGGTTTCAGCTTATCTCATCTTTTTTTTTTAAATATATTTTATTGATTTTTCACAGAGAGGAAGAGAGAGGAATAGAGAGCTAGAAACATCAATGAGAGAGATACATCAACCAGCCGCGTCCTGCACACTCCCTAACGGGAATGTGTCTGCAACCAATGTACATGCCCTTGACCGGAATCGAACCTGGGACTCTTCAGTCCGCAGGCCGACTATCTATCCACTGAGCCAAACTGGTTTCGGCTCATCTTTTATTTTATTTTATTTTATTTTATTTTACTTTATTTTATTTTATTTTTATTTTATTTTTTTATTTTTTTAAATAAATTTTATTTTATTTTATTTTTAATTGATTTGAGAGAGAGAGAGAAGGAGAGAGTAACATTGATTTTTTTTCTTTTTTTTTATTAAGGTATTATATGTGTACATATCTTACCAATCCTCACCCCCACCCCCACTCCCATACATGCCCTCCCTCCCCAGAGTTTTTCATCCATTGGTTATACTTATATGCATGTATACAAGTTGTTATACTTATTTATGCTTTCATTGGTTGATCCTTGTATGTGCCCTGACCAGGGATCTAACCCACAACCGTGGTGTATCAGAAC